AATCATGCTAACAGAAGAGTCAAAACCACTAATTTCTTTTAATACACTCTATAGCCATTATCAATGGAGGATAATGCCTTTTATGTTATGCAATTCCCCTCAGATATTCCAAGATGGATGGACAAAATATTTTTACATCTAAAAAAATTTTGTGTAGTTTATATTGATGATGTTTTGGTATTCTCTAAATCCCTAGAAGACAACAAAAAACATCTAAAAATAGTATGCGACAAATTCCTAGACAAGGGAATTATCCTAAGCCTTAAAAAGATTGAAGTAGAAAAGCATCAATTGAATTTTGTTTACGATGCAAATCGGAGAGATCTTCAGAGGAAGATCCCTCAGATCCGTACCACAAACTGATTTTTTAAGTGATCGATAGTGGGAAAAATCAAATTCTGATTTGAGACCAGATCTATTAAAAAATGAATAGATCTGCTCTCACATCAGTGGCAGAGCCAACATCGATCAAAAAAGCATGAAATACAATATAAAATGCAATAAAAAATATTAAATTATAATAAAAATAAATAAATACATAAAAGAAATACAAAAAGAGTAAGAAATACCAAACTGGGTCTGTTGTCCTAGGACTCTTGAGGCTTCGAGGCTTCGCTCATATCAGGACCGGCTGAGTTTATATCGTGCATCCTCTTTGTTTCTCTTCAGGTTTTTTACCAGGCTTTGACTTGGTTTGATGGATCTCTTAATCTAAGGGCTACAACCTAAAGCTTAGATTTTTCTAAATCTAGGGGTTTACTCACAAGTTTTCTCTCTAGGATCTCTCTATCTCTCCGATTTTTTGGCCTACCACGTCCCACCTCAAAGGGGTCACAAAATGTGTTTATATAAAGCCTCAAATCATATTAGAATGGATATATACTAATTTCAAGTGGATTTGCCAAACAAATTTCCATTTTGGGGGTGAAAGGGAGCCCAAATATGACCAAAACTAGCAGTGTGTTTTTTGTGATATTTCCTACAACAAATCAGGTAAAAATAAGTTGTTTTGCTACTTTTAGTTGATTTATTACTAAAACAATGGTCTTGCGGGATTATGGACCACAGGATAAGGATCACGGACTATGATGGTCTATGGTTGGGGGTTTACTGGGATAATGTGGTCTTAAGGGTTCAAGAGTATTACATAATTTGACAGTTTTAAAAATCGGGTGCCTACAAATTTTTAGGAATAATCTTAGACCAGCAACGTATAAGATTACAATAGCATATTATTGCTAAAATTATTTTTCCTGACAAAATTGTAAACAAAAAACATTTGCAAAGTTTCTTAGTAATTCTTAATTATGGAAGAAATTTTATTCCAGATTTCTCTAAGAAAGAGAGGCCTTTATTAGAAAAATTAAAAAAGGATAAAAAATTTACTTGGGATAATAAAGAGTTAGAAATAGTCAGAAAATTAAGGTAAATATTAAAAAAAATACCAACTGTTTACTTCCCTAAAGAAGAGGATAAACTTATCCTTGAAATTGGCGCTTCAAAATCGTTTTAGGACACTTATCCTTGAAACTGACACTTCAAAATTGACCATTCTTCAAAATGATCTGGGTATTCTATTTTTCTTTTTGCCCTTTATTTTGAGACAAGGGTTTCAATCTTTTTTTTCGATTATGATTCTTTATCAGAATCCGATTTTGTTTTATTTGTAGCAATTTCTTCATCACTATCATCTTGGCTAATGATACGATGATAGTTATCTTTTATCATGAGGCTTTCATGATCAGAAAATAACCTTTGCATATTAGAAATAAGGTTAGTTCTTGTTTCTATGTCCTTTTCTTTTGTATATCTAGACTTCCAGTATTTTTAGAGTCTTTTTTTAAAGTTATGTTGAAGGCTTGAAGACTAGATCATTTATGATTTGATTTTTGACCTTTAGATCACCATTAATGAAGTAGTATGAGACCTTCAATGGAGTATTTCTCAATCACATATAAAGAAGTTTTCAGAGAGAGAGAGAGAGAGAGAGGAAGAAGATGAAAACTTTAGACGTGCCAACTAAAAGAGAGTGAATTGAGAGGGACGTGCCACTTGGAGGGAAAACGTGTGAGGTGAATCCATGTGAGAGAAAGGCTCAAGGGGGTATTTATAATTTTTCAACCCTTCAGTGTGGAGATGCTTCTAGAAGAATGAATCTTAGGTCTCCATGTCATCTACCAAAGACTACAAATTGAGGCATGATCACAGCCCACCATCCACTATCATATCATCAAGATGTGTGGTATGGATTTAAACACATATATCCTCCTATAATTCACTTTAATTTTCCTTGTTATAAAAAAGATTATGCTCTTTATATTTAATAAACCTTAACAACCAAGGTTGACAGTATACCCTTTTAGTCATTTGACAAATTTTTTAGCAAAAGCAAATCTTTTTAAATTTCCTCCATTTCATGAGACTGTGTGGGGTTAATGAAATAATGTTAGATAAGCTAAGTGGTTATATACACTTTTACCATACGCCCTTAAGGTTAGGCTTGTAAATAAAAAACCCATACCCCTTTTAGAACTCTCCACACATGTGTGCAAACCACGTTCTTTAGGTATTTAACATGTGCTAAAATTAATTTTCCAAAACTCAATATTTTTGAAAATTCCAAAATACCATACTTCTTTAACTTAAAGCAACAATATATCAAATGACAAGGGGGGTCCCCACATGGGGTTGTCGTCACCCCTATGTCATCTCCTCGTGGGGGGGATGTGGGACGCCATTGGGTTGACATGTAGACACCCATTGGCCATTTGCGTGTGGGTCTCGGGGTCTGTTTTTTATTATTATTTCTTTGAAACAATTTTGAAAACCATATGTTCTTGTCTAAAAAAACTTAAAAAAAATTCTCATAAATCCATAAAAATCATTTTGATGATTTTTCATAACATGTTTTGGCATTGATTAAAAATAATTACAAAAAAATTAAGATCCTTGGAGCTAAATTATAAAATAGGGTACTGTACTTGGCTAGACCTGGAATCCAAAGACACCTTCTTAGAATGACCCAACAATCTCATGACCCACAGTGAATAATCAAGGGCTCATGATCTTATCTTATCAAAGTCAAACCAATTTGTGATTCTAAATTCCCAAGTTTATGTGGATTTCAAGTGCACCCCTAGAAGACACGTACACATATGGTGCAATGGTTCCTCTCTAAGCACATGTGCAACTCTATCCAATGGATCCCATGAAAAGAGGCTTCCCATATATTTTGACTGTATATACACATGATACGAGAAGGTTTATAGTAGTCAAGGCGATCTCTTTTGTCTTGAATATTAATGAAACTCTACTATTTTGAATAGAGAAGAGAGAAACATTTTGCAAGAAGAGTTGTACCCTTTGCCCCTAACCTAAGCAATAACTCACATTGGTTAAATCTCCACACTTAACCAAGGGTTGCTTAAACCTTAACGCAACCACACCTCCCTAACTCTAACATCCAACCCCAATACTATCATACTCCATACCTTACCCTCAAGACTACACCATACCCCACACCTAATCCTACACTTTGTCCTACTCCATACCATACCATACTCCCCTAATTCCTATTACACTATACCCTTTAGACTATAGTCTATCCTATCCCCTACCCTACACCACATCTATTATACTTCCGGCACCCATCACACCCCTCTAGTCTAGTTTAGTGCTGTTAAGGAGGCTCTTCTATATCGATGCTTGAGTGGGTTTGACCCTCTTCAAATCCGTGCAGATTCCTCTAGGGTACTTCGGCTAGTCGCCAAGTACCCTTTGCTCATTGTTTACCCACTCTCTAGGGGAGGTGCGGCCGGAATTATGTCGGATTCCAGTTGATCATTTCGCTAGCCAAAAGTATAAACTTAGACTTGAGCCTAGCCAACCTATCACCTAACCCTAGTTGTGCCAGCCCATCTAAATTCACACCTACCCTTGAACCAAGCTCGAACCCACTCGAGCCAAACCCACACTTACCCTTGAACCAAGCTTGAACAATATTTGAGTCCACTTAAACCATGCTCAAACCAACTCGCACCAAACTTGAGCTTATTCAAACCAACTTTATCCAAATCCGAACCTACCTGAACCAAACCCGGAACCAACCTTAACCAAGCCGAGTCAAACCGAGGAGCATCTTAGACACATTTGGCGATTCAAGAGGAAACCGAGGCGGTGGAGATCATAAGGGAGTGGAACCAGACCGTGTCTGAGATGGCATGCTCTGCCAAAATCTAAAAGGGCAAGATGCCCAGACATATTCAACCCCAAGATTTGAGGTAGGTAACACGTCACCCTAAATTTGTTGGTTCGGGCCGCACTGCACTCCACACCTTATTGGCACACATCGCACAAGAATATAGGATCACCCACATGTGCACAAGTGTAGGGGCAAGGCTGACAATCTAGACCATCCATTCTTCCCTAAAAATAAGGGTTCATGGATTTGCAAGATCCATACATTTTTTTGATCTTGCAAAATCACAATCGGTGTTAGATATTAACTTTAAAGCCATAATGAAATTTCGATGCCTAAAGTGCTTCTAGACAAGGATTTGAAGTGAAGCTGTACTTTATTTTTAGGAAGCTTAGGCCTTATAGAAACTTCATCCATGAAAAAAAGAAAAAAAGAAAATAAAGAGTTAAATAGTCATCTCCGATGTACGTTTTGCATTTTGATATATTTCGTGTCAACTGGAGAGAAGGGTAAGGGGGGGGGACATCAAACGCACTGCACTCGTTTGCTTTCCCTTGGTCTAATGTACTCTAAAGCCCTTTGGCCAAACAAATGTTGCTGGTTTGTTTTATTGTGGAAACTGTAGAAATGGATAGCGAGGTCTTGTATCCTGGAAAGAAAAAGTGAAACCAGGGGGCCACCACAAGCACACCCTATTCCAGTTCCTGTCTGCTTGGAAAATGCTGATTCCAGGCAAGGATTTCAACCTTGGGCAGATATTGAGATCTTAATATTCTTTTTCTTTAAGGAGCCAACAACAAAAGAACACAATCGCCAGTTCTATTAATAACTGTGTTTGTTCTGAAACAGCGGCAGCTAAACAGAGAGAGAGGCTCTTTCTTTCTTTGCATCATTCAAACTTTACCAAAGGGTACATGTTTACATACATTAAGTTGGAAAAAGAGGAGGAAAAGCCTAGGGGGGGAAGCATGGAATGAGAAAAGCTATTTATGTCCATCCCATTCATATATGATATGATCCTAGGCCCTTTCAAAATGGCGCAGTTGTGGACCTTCGAAGAGTGGCAGGCTTCGTTTTCCCATGTTGAAAAGCGGCAGTTGGGTTTGCAAAAGTTAACTGTCAACACCAAACAGAAAACAACATCAGTACCCAGCGAAATGAATCCCAAGCCAGTAAAATATTACGAAAAGCACAAAAAGAATAATATATAATATCACAAAGTCTACAAAAAAATTTGGGGATCGTTACAGATCATCAACAAAGGGAGACCCTCGTACTCTATGCAGGAGAGCAGACAAATAGAGAAACGCAAATAAAGAATCAATCATAGGGGTGGCAACAAGCCGCACCTGGTGTTTTCTGAGCCTCGCATTCTCCTCAATGAGATGGGCCACTTCCAGCTCCAATTCGTTGGTATAAGCCTGTGCACATCCCAAGTTAACATGAAAACAAATAATACCACCATTATTATTGTTGTCGTTGCAATTAAAAGTAGAGAGAAGAAATACGGAGGGATTAGCTATGTGAATAGCGAGTGGGTGTGCCTGCTTTCGAGCCCTGGATCGAGCGGCAGACTCCCTGTTCTTGATCATGCGCTTGTGGCGCCGGTCCACACTCTGCTCCTCTCTGCAATCCGGTGGCAACCTCTTCTTGCACAGCCCTAATCCGGCTGCACTCTCTGGAGCAACAAAGGGGGCAGCTGCCCCAGGTTCAAGAACGTGAGGCGGCCGCTGCTGCTCCTCCTCCTGAACAGCAGAAGCAGGCTTGTAGCTAAGCCAGTCAAGGTAATGCAGGTCAGAGCCAGTGATCAAACTGAGATTAGTAGCAGCAACGTTCTGAGGCCCGCCGCGACGTTCGACATGGATCTCGTCTTGCTGTGCTCGCCGTGTGTCGTTGCCGGTTGTCAAGAAATCTTGGAGGATCATTTCTCTGAATCCCTTGGGCCCTTCATCGCGAGGAAGGAGAGTCAGGTTCAGGTCCCTCCAAACATCCTCCATGGTTTTCCTGTTCGACCTCGGGGGTGAATGAAGCGTCGAAGAAGACGATGATGAAGTAGAGGAGAGCGCGGGCGCTCCATTCTTGTTCATCTCTACAGACCACATTTCATGCACCGGGCTTCCTGAACGATGACAAGAACAACAAGTCCAGAATTATTGACACCTTTGTCCGTCCCTTGTCAATGAGTAAAGGAAAAAATGACTACTTGACTTGATTCCACTTTACCTGGTCCGAGGGAGCGCAGCCTTGAGTCCGGAGGATAAAATGAAGCAATCTGCATCAATCACTCATCGCCTGCGATTTTGAAACGTTATTTCAGAAACGTACTCATTATTAATTAAGAAAGACTAAGGAAGGATACAAACCGACGGGCAATGGATTCCTGTTAAGCCGTGGCACGCCATCTGTAACCAGTACAAGAATCTCTCTCTCAATATACACTTGTTTTTGAACGGGGAAGCTCTCCTTCTCTAGTCCATGCTTTCAATTGGGGTTGGGACACCCGCACGTGCTTCTTCCTGTCGGCTCCCAAAACCCTTTCTTTTCCTTTCTTTACCGTTTACCCTTTGATTGATGAAATCGCACCCCTTTTAAGCAAGAGGAAATTTCCCCATTCCCTACTACTACTGTATTTGTCGTCGATATATACAGTGTTATGATTGTAAAGAAAGAAGGGAAAGGGTTCTTTGTCCTATGATGACGCGCATTCGGGCTTGCTTTTCAACCCGCCATTCATGGCGCCCCTACCCCATCTTTAATAATCGCTTCCAATCAAGGGAGATGTGATAATAAAAACAAAAAAACTTAAAAAACATCGGCGCGATCGAGCGGGGCTAGGAATGTACGGTGGACTTAAAGGTAAACCCCCATATCTTCGTACTCTTATTGTGACAACCGCTGTCACGTCTTCCATCCCGCGTGATGATGTGCGCCCAAAGATGAGGTGCGATGCCCTACGTTTCCCCCTCTTTTGTATTTATTCGATGGGTTAGGTTTGTACAAGGTCTCTGACTTTATATTATATTATTGGAGTAAGGTGCCCTTCAAAGCTATATTAAAAAAATATTAATTTTGGTGCCACAAAGCACGATATGAAAATCATTTGTTGCTCTCAGTTCTAAAATTTAAAATTTCATAAACGGTAGTGATCAAGTAGATCGATAATAATTTGAAATTTTAAAAATTGGACGGTCCAGATAATGAGTTAGAAGATGAACTATTTTTAATACTAAAAATTTTCTTTTTTTATGTATGTGAATTTACAAGTCGAGATGATCGATTTGAACGTTTTCCAACATGGAACAACCTTCTCTAACCGATTTCTTAAGAGTACCTTACTAGTACAGTATAAGGTTGACACCTTATATAAACTTTTCCCTTACTCGACATGCCTATTTCTTAGTTCTAGTGCCTAAGTAGCTGCAGTGGAACATGACGGAGACTTAGGCTAATTGATATTTTAGATCTTTATACGTGAGTTTTTATGGTACTCCATCTAGGAGACTACTTTTTATACCTTACCAAATATTTATGGGTACGGTTTGTATAGAGCTGAGGCTCTAAATAATCCAATTAAAACACACCCTCAAATAGTGTAGAGAAACGTAGTTTCAATATTGAAAATCTTTGACTAGCCTTGAAATATATCTTGAGTTATAAAATTTAAAGCTTAAAAAATAAAGCAGATCAAGCAGATCTATGAAACTTGAATAATTTAAAAATTGACGGTCCAAAAATGCGTTACAAGATACACTATTTCCAAAACTTGAAATCCATTTTTTTCTCATGTTTATGAATCTTGATGTCGAGATTATCAATTTGAGGATATTTGGGCATCAAAACAACCTCTTCCGGTGAAACTTTTGAAGTAAGCTCTAATTTGATTGTTTAGACTATATTTTTTATGATACAAAAGTTTTTTTTTTAGCAAGGACATTTTTTCATGATTAGTATGTAGGGTTGGCAACCAGTAAGATCCGCACCCGTTAGATCCCCATTCCAAGTTTTAGGGTTAGGCCCACCTTTGATGAGGCCTAATGAATCCTAGCCCAGGCTCAATTTAGGCTCAATGAGGCCTAATGAATCCTAGCCCAGGCTCAATGAGGCCTAATAAACTCAAAAGACAAAAAAAAAGAGATTGTGTACATGGTGTGTGAAGAAACAATCCATTCTACGATTGTCTTTTGTAACATTTTTGAGATAGAGAGAAAAGTTCATCTTACTTTGTTTGTGATCCACTTGAAGCCCGTTCACAAAGAAAGACCAAATCAAGGAATAGTATCCCTGCATTTAAACTCAGGTATACGGGCCGATATGTCCATTGGTATTATTCCTTTCTTTCATATGTCTATATGTTGTTTTTCTTAGAAACAAATGTTTAGGTTTCAAGGCCTAGATCAAGGGTATTTTGTTTAGGTTGAGACTGATATAAATTGTAACAGATGATTAAACCTCTAAAACTGTTCTGTTCCTAGTATATGATATAATATAAAAACCTGTGTTTCTATAATATGGAATGTACGAGCAAATTTGGCCTCGAGTGTGATGTCCTCTAGTCATTATTTGGAGTCTAATATTTATTTAACTATTTAATCAATATAAGCATCGCATTTTTTGGAGCCTCCAACAGTATGGTCCATTCCTCTTTTCTACATGGTCCCCATGTGGTGCATTAAAGGTGGTGTTGAAAAAGGCACTTCTGAAAATCCAATTTGGCTGAAAGTTTTATCATTGGATTTTCTCATCATGACCATCGTATAAAAATTGGAAGCTCATTTGCCACTTATTTTTTAGGTCCCTCTTGTAAGGTTGGTCCGATTTAGGTGGACCCTACATGCGGTTCAAGAAGTTCGAGATGCCATTTCTCCTTCATCCGATGTCGAATTGGGCTCAATTTTGGTCTATAAACTTTTTATACTAACACATTCTTCCCATAACATTCTTGGCCCATTTGTCTTTTTGTATCTTGAGGAATCTTTAAAAATTGCCCCTAGATCAATGTTGTGAAATGGACGGTTGAGCTTTGCTGGACAATATCTTGGTCATTCGTCCTTGGATTGGCTTGATATTTCAATGGTAGCCTTAGATTGCCATGGATTAAGATTGAATGGTTATATTGGGCAAGTTTGACTAGATTTTGATTGTGTTTCCTATTAGACCGTCTGATTATTGTTTTAGGCATGATTGGACTCAAATCTTTTTCGTTTTTCACATGAAGTTTATTTAATCATATAAAAGTGACCTTTCATCTTTCTATTTTTCAAGATATTGAATTTTACCCACTACAGCTACTTCAAATGGTTATTTGGGTATTTCGGTGGTCATCATTCTGGGAATTTATTTGGCGAGATATCGCCACTTCTGAGCTTATATTTTATTTGTGAGAAAATACCCCCAAACAAATTGCTTGCCTGAATGTCGCGCGATCAACCCGGCTATGGAGAGCGAGACATTCGACATCAATTTGGGGGAAGATAATATTACCTGAAGGAGAGGTACTTCATTGAAGTTTTCCTTCCGGCTCACATTTGTGAGTGTTCAGGTATCTTAATGACTTATTCCCAGACTACCTGAGAAATTTTGTGGTGCACTACTTGTTCCAAATCACCAAACATTTTGACCATGTTGAGTGCCTTGATGAATTGCTCTTAGACCTAGCCAAGAATTTTGATGTTGGGTGCCTTTGTGACTTGCTCTTAGACATTTGAGAAATTTTGTGGTACACTGAATGTCTTCATGACTTGTTCCCAGTCACTAGAAATTTTGAAGATGCTAAGTGTCTTGGTGACTTGCTCCCAGACACGGTTGAGAAATTTTGATGCTAAGTGTCTTTGTGACTTGCATCCGGTCATTTGAGAAGTTTTGTGGCGCATTGAGTGTTTTCACAACTTGCTCCTAAACATTAGAATTTTGACCATGCTAAGTATCTTGGTGACTTACTCTCAAACCTGGCTGAGAAATATTGATGTTGAGTGTCTTTGTGACTTGCTCCTGGACATTTGAGGAATTTTGTATCTCATCGAGCGTCTTCACAACTTGCTCCCAATCACCAGACATTTTGACCATGTTAGGTGTTTTGGTGACTTACTCGTTGACACAGTTGATGAATTTTTACGTCGAATGTCATTGTGACATGGTCCCGGTCATTTGAGAAGTTTTGTGGTGTACTGAGTGTCCTCACGACTTGCTCCCAGTCACCAAACATTGTGACCATGCTGAGTGTCTTGGTGACTTGCTCTCTGACCCAGTCGAGAATTTGGATACAAGTTGTATTTGTGACTTGCTTCCGACCACCAGAATAGATTTTGGTGTCGTACGACTTGTTCCCAGATCCTTGATTTGAAGTGGCATCGTGTGTCCTTGACTAACACCCGATCACCAGAATGGATTTCGAGTGTCCTATGACTTTCTCCCAAATCATTGATTTGACGCGGCATTGAGTGTCTTTAGCTTGCTCTCGACCACCGAAATGGATTCCGATTGTTCTACGACTTCTTTCAGATCCTTGATTTGAGGTGGTATCGAGTGTCTTTGACTTTCTCCTGACCACCGAAATTGATTATGGGTGTCCTACATGACTTACTTCCATATCCTTGATTTGAAGTGGCACCGAGTGTCATTGACTAGGCCCCGACCACGGGAATGGATTCTAAGTGTCTTATGGTTTTCTCCTAGATCCTTGATTTGAGGCAGTGTCGAGTGTCTTTAACTTGCTCTCGACCATCGAAATGGATTCCAGGTATCCTACGAATTGCTCCCAGATCCTTGACTTGAGGCAGGGTCAAGTGTCTTTCACTTTCTCCTGACCACCGAATGGATTATGGGTGTCCTACGACTTGATCCCAGATCGTTGATTTGAGGCAGCATTGAGTGTCCTTGACTTCCTTCCGATCGTTGGAATGGATTCCGAGTGTCCTACGACTTTCTCTTGGATCCTTGATTTGAGGCAATGTCGAGCGTACTTGACTTGCTCCCAACCACTGAAATGGATTATGGGTGTCCAACGACTTGCTCCCAGATCCTTGATTTGAGGCAGTGTCGAGTGTCTTTGACTTTCACCTAACCATCGAAATGGATTACGAGTGTCCTATGGCTTTCTCTTGATTTGAGGTTGCATCAAATGTCTTTAACTTGCTCCTGACTACCCAAATGGATTCTGGGTGTCCTACGACTTGCTCTCAAATCCTTGATTTGAGGCGACGTCGAGTGTCTTTGACTAGCTCTCGATCGTTGGAATGGATTCCAAGTGTCATATGACTTGCTCTTGGATCCTTGCTATGGGGCAGAATAGGGTACCTTTGACTTGCTCCCGACCACCATGTATGTAATTGCATTCTTGTCGACTTTGAGATCTTGATTTGGATGCCTTGTACATGTTTTCACCAAAATTAGGGGGAAGGTGCCATGAAAATGGTATTCACTAACCCCTTTTTTTTGACAAGTTTTACCCATATTGCCCTTACAAGTTTTCACCATGCCCATCTTCTTTTTTTTTTTTGGAAGGGGAGAGTTCACAGTGTCCTTTTGGGTTTTCACTTTGACCAATTTTTTTTTTGACATATTTTAC